TGAGAGTGACCCCGGGCGTCGGAGCCGGTCCTAGGCCTCGCAGGGGTCCTTGGGGGGGCGCTGAGGCCTCTCCCCTGAGGGTGTTACCGGAGGGCGGCTTGGCCACTTTTGATTATGCATGTCAGGGTTGCAAGCTACGTGCAGGCGCTTCACAGTCAGTGCAGCACCCTTCTGCCGCTCCTAGGCTGGAGAGGGGAGCCAGGGCCTCTGCCTTGCAGGGACTCCCGACCTGCTTGGGCGTGAGGCTTTTCTCCTCTTCGCCCCAAGCCTGGCTAGGGCTGCTCCTGGGAGAACGGCACTTGGACCTTGGCCCGGGGGCAGGGCAGGGACTCTCCCTGGCTCTGGTCCGACTTGCGAGTGAGAGCGCCCGGGAGCCGGGCTCTGCCGCGTGGCTGGGGCGTGGGCGGCTCTTCTCCCGGGGTGGTAATGGGAGCCCTTGGGCCAGCGTGAGCCGCTCTGAGCCCGCCAGCTCAGCTGAGCCTGCACCACCGCCGGTGCCAAGCTCAGCAGCGCTGGCCCAACGTGCCGGAGCTCCGGGGGTGAAGCACCCAGGGGCCGCCCGCTGACGGAGTCTAGTTCTGTTGCAGCGTTGGATGAAACAAGCCCTGGAGGAAGGGATGGCTCAGACCTCGCCTGCTGCCCAGGACAGCAGACCCCAGTGTCTGTACCAAAGGAGCGAGAGCAGCAGCTCCTCCAGCATCTGCAAGGACAGCGCAGGTGGGTGTGCAGACTCCCGCGGGGGCCGGGCGGGGGGAGGCAGCGATAGGAGGCGTTGGCCAGGGCTTTGCATGTTGGTCGGGTTCGTGGCAGGTGGGGCTCTCGCTGTACCACCCAGTTTCCACAGGCTCCTGTTAGCTCCTTTGCTGTGCCGGTGGGGGGATGCTCCCAGAGCTGTCTGCTGTGAGACCAGAGTCACGCCTTCGAGGGGAAAGCTGGCTGTTGCGTATGCTGAGAACTAGCAGGCTCCCAGGAACGTAGCCGGGGGCTACTCGGAAATGCTGGCCTTGGAGGAGAAAAGCGGTAGCCAAGTTGTTAAATAGTTAATTTGCATCTGTCTTTGCAGAGGAAGAGGGTGGAGATCTGCCCAAGTCAGGGATCAGTTTGCCAAGGACGACAGACGAGGAGCTAGACAGTGTACAGATAACAACAGAGTTGGTTGTTAAAAGGTTAGATGCACCAAGTTAACCGCCCAGGAGGCCTGGGTACCATGCATCCCTGAGCACAGCCTGGAGGGAGAGAGCAAAGAAACTAGAAACCGCACCCCCACGCCAATTGTAGGAGAGATTCCCAAGGTCTGGAGAGGGGCAAGTGGCTGCACTTGACAAGGCTGTGACGTGAGGAGCCCAAGAGCGGCCTGTTTCTAGCATTTCTTTGACTCGTGTTGCACTCTGGCGCCAAGGGCCTGCCACTTGAGTACTAGGAGATCCAACCTGTGGCTGCTTTGCCCCCGTGGATTCAGCAGGGATCTGGGAGGGTCTCGCTGCCGAGAAAGGGGGAACCTGGGGGTCCAAACAACAGGCCTGCAAAGTGTGCGAGAAGGAGGGGAAGCGGGAGCTGGCTGGAGATGTCTGCGCACAAGCCAAGGGGCTCTTTGCAGTAGCTCGCCCAGCCCCAGGATGGCTGAGTGGGCGTGTAGGACCTCTGCTCAGAACGGCACTGCGCTGCATGGGAGGGGCTGGGCTCGCAGGCCACGCTAACCCGGAGGAAGCAGGCGGAGTCCAAAGGGGCGCCAGGAACAGCACCTGGGGAGCAAGGACCAGCCTAGGGAGCATGAGCGAACCGGGCCTACCATGAAGCACCCAGGGCTGGAGACGTTCCCAAGCTGAAGCTGGTGGTGAGGGAGCAGCAAACCTGACGCTCTTGAGCCGCTAGGCAGAAAGTCTGAGACTGCCCGAGGCCCTGTCTGTGCTGGGTCCTGTCGGGAGGACGTTCCCTGCCCTGCAGAGGCTGGATCTGAAGAAGGGTTGGGTCCCATTTCTGCTTGGGACGGAGGCGACTCGTGCTGGCCTCACGGGGGCCTGTAGAGCTGGCAAGGGACCTGGGGCCAAGGGGCCAAGCTCAGCAGTCGGAGGGAGCCGGCTGCAGGCGAGGGGCGTTCTGGGCTGGCCCATTGAGCTGGGAGGGGGTAGGGTGCCCGAGGCGCAGGAGGCTGTGCGCACACTGGGACGGTTCTCTCTGGTGTCTTTCCCTGGAGCCGAGCGGTCTGTGTCTCCACAGTCCCGTGTGCCTTGTTGAAGGAGCGTGGGGCCGGGCTGTGTGTCTGCAGGCTGGTGACACCAGGGCTGTGCTATTCGGAGCAGGGCCAGTCCTTGACACGGCTCCCCACGGGGCGTTTCTTGTAGCGGGGTGGTCGTGATGTCGGCACCTGGCTTCCGTGCCTCCCCAACCACGTGGGAGGAGTGGGGTTCTCATGGTGTTGGGGACGAGTGTGCTGCCGCACGACTCAGTTGTACCGTGTTCCTCTTTCAGACCTGCTGAGCCCCCTGAAGAAGTGGAAATCTCGCTACCTGATGGAGCAGAACGTGACCAAGCTGCTGAGGCCGCTCTCTCCCGTCACGCCTCCACCTCCTGGCTCCCTGAGCCCCCGGCTGCCAGGAGAGGAGGACTGGCGCAATGGCTATGGGGGGGTGTTCTCGCCGATTCCCTCGCTGGCTGCGAGCCGCTGCAATACGCCGCTGCAGTTTGAGGTGACTTGGGGAGGCGTGAGGAGGTGCTGGGGGCAGGCATGCAGCCGAGCCAGGTCTCTCTCCTCTGGGGCATGCTGGGCTCTGGCTCCTCGAGGCCATCGACGACGCGGTAGCTCCTCTGGGATGTGCCCTACTTCCAAGCAGGAGAGCCAGGACACGGGGCAGCTTCGCCCCCCACTGCCTTTCCTGCTGGACACAACACCCATGTCTGTCTGCTTGCACCCCTCCCCCCGCCGTGGCCCCGCAGGCCCCCAGCTCTCCAGCGTGGCTCATGTGCCACCGCCCCTGCTCCCATCCACGTGGGTAGCAGCCCCCAAATCCCAGCCCGGCGAGGGCTTGCCACTCCCTCCGCCCGGCACTTGACTCCAGTGCTGCTCCCTTTGCCTCGGGGCACCGCTCTCTGCAGGTGTTTTTCCTGCTCTGCGCTATCCAAGCGGGGCTGCCTGTTCCGCCCCAGTCTGGAGCTTCTGCTTCCTCCGGCCATGATCACCTCCAGGAGGTGCAGGGGCCTGCAGTTCTCATTGGAGAGTGGAGCCCAGTGTCCTCGCTGCTGCCCTCCCACTGCCATTCAGTCCAGCCAACGGCCTCGTGGTCGCTGGCTTGAGCGAAGCCTGCCTAGGCCCTGGCTCTGCTCTGCGGGGCGCGGGGCGTGCTCTGGGACACGGAGCTCTGGGGAAGCTGTTGCAGAGGGAGGCTGGCGGCGGGGCTGGGGCAGCACTGAGGAGACTACGTCTCCCAGGTCTGCAGACTGTAGCTTCCCCCTGTGGCTGTAGCCCTGGGAGAGGAGACCGCAGGGAGGGCCTTGTACCAAGAGGACAGGCTCTTCAGTTCGAGAGCTGAGGGTGATCAGCCGTTGGGAGGATGGGGAATTTGGTGACTCTAAAGCTTGAGATTAACCAGTGATTCCGAGTGCCGCATACTGAATTAATCTGCTACAGCTGCTCTTCTGGGGAGCTTGTCCCACAAACTCCTGAAACCTCTGGCAGGTCAGGCCCTTGTTGGCCAGGGCGTTAGAGCGAATTGGAAACCAGCTGACATTGGGGCCTCGGTTTGGATTGCTTTGGGGCGTCCGGTCTGTAGCAGAGTCTTGGAACATAGTGTCCGTCATGGATTCTGCCCGGGAAAGCCTGCCCGCTTGTCTGAGAGAGTTCTGAAAGGTCTTATCGCATTGGTTTTTTGTAAGTACCCCTGTCCGGCAACCACGCACCCGTCACGGGGAGTATCCTCCCTCCACAAGAGCCACCGCCTTTCTGGCTCTCCCTGGGGGTGTTCTGGAAGATCCCATGGCCGTGGGGAGGTGTGTGCATACGCCCGTCTGACCTCTGGAGCGCTCTCAGGCACTTGCTACTATTCCTTTCATGGTACCCAACAAGAAACTCATGGGGAATTGAAGGAGCCATTTTATTTCCCCTTTGAAGTCTAATGCTAGCTACAGCGTTGGGGCATTTTCCTTAGGCTCTCCACTCTGGTCTTCCCCGTGGATTTCTCTGTTTCCTGGTGCAAACTCCTTGGCTAACAGCATCAGAAATCTAAAGAGTCAAACACTTCTGGCTAACACCTCTTCTGGCCTCTGATTTGGATACTAAGCCGTAGAATGGAACGCACTAACCCAGTCCTGTCTCTGTGCGTCCAGGAGACTTCAGAACTGCCCACCCCGCACGCCGCTCAGGCGACTTCCCGGGCGCCGTGGCTAACCTCCGCGCTTGTTTTACTTGATTTGATTTTGCTTCTTGACTTTTGAAGTAGATGAATAACAAGATGCTTTTCCCTCCTAGAACGTATCCTCCCCTGAGAGTTCCCCTGCGCATAGGCCCGAGTCCCTGTCACCCGAGGTAGTTATCACACCGTCTCAATTGCGCTTGGAGGCTGTGTGCGTGAACCTGTGTGTGCGTGAACCTGTGTGTGCATGAGAGAGAGATTGAACCTGTGTGTGTGTGTGCGTGAACCTGTGTGTGTGTGTGTGCATGAACCTGTGTGTGTGTGTGTGCGTGAACCTGTGTGTGCGTGAGAGAGATTGAACCTGTGTGTGTGCGTGCGTGAACCTGTGTGTGTGAGTGTGAACCTGTGTGTGCGTGAGAGAGATTGAACCTGTGTGTGTGTGTGAACCTGTGTGTGTGTGTGTGTGTGAACCTGTGTGTGCGTGAGAGATCGAACCTGTGTGTGTGTGAGC